TTTACCTTCTTGGGCTCCATGATCACTGCAGATGGTGACAGCAGCCACAAAATTAAAAGACGCCTGCTTCTTGGGAGGAAAGAGATGACAAACCTAGACAGCATCTTAAAAAGCAGAGACATCACCTTGCCGACAAAGGTCCGCATAGTCAAAGCTATGGTTTTTCCAGTAGCAATGTATGGAAGTGAGAGCTGGACCATAAAGAAGGCTGACCACCGAAGAATTGATGCTTTTGAATTGTGGTGCTGGAAGAGACTCTTGAGAGTCCCCTGAACTGCAAAGAGAACAAACCTATCCATTTTGAAGGAAATCAACCCTGAGTGCTCACTGGAAGGACAGATCCTGAAGCTGAGGCTCCAATACTTTGGCCGTCTTATGAGAAGAGAAGACTCCCTGGAAAATACCCTTATGTCGGGAAGTGTGAGTGCAAGAGGAGAACGGGACGACAGGGGACAAAATGGTTGGAGAGTGTTATCGAAGCTACGAACATGAATTTGACACAAGTCTGTGAGGCAGAGGAAGACAGGAGGGCCTGGCATGACTGGAGGCGGTGGAAGACAGGAGGGCCTGGCACTCAGGTCCATGGGGTCACGAAAAGTCAGTCATGACTTAATGACTAAACAACAACATCAGAACTGGCAGGAAGGTGGCCTATAAAAATCAATGAATATGATAGACAGATTGTGTCAGGTCAGCAGCTGCACATTCTGTTTTATTCTTGTAGTCACAAATGAACCACAGTTGAACTCAGTTTTAAAAGGAGAGACTGCTACTTGCTTGGAATATTTTTCTCTCCCCACCTTTTTTTTAACAGCGTAGGGGCAGAATCTTATTGACTGCTAGTGTAGTTTCACCCAGCCTCCATTAAGCAGGTAAAGACTGTGAAGATGAACCATCAAAGCCAACAGAGCATTTGCTTCTGCAAGGAAATGCTGGATACTTCCTTGTGCATATTCCTGAAAAGTCATGTCACATGTGCAAGGGACCATTGCATGACTGGAATGAATGCACAGGGTGCTGCTCTAGCCATCTAGAAGCTGCAATAAACCACAGACTGGCAGAGAGTGAGAAGGACAATATTAGCTGGGTGCTTCACAACCAAAGTATTACATCTAAGTACTTCATAATGACATCTGTGTATGTGTGTGATGATCTAAGCAGGGGAGTCCTCCAGCAAGGATTGAGTCTGAGGAACTAGACATTCCAAAGCCTGATGACCTGCTTGACCCTGGAGATACTGGACCCTCAGGCACTCAGGATCCTGAGCTTATGTGCGATGGGGTGGGGGGTTCAGGAACTGGGCCTGACAAGCAGGTAGGATAAACCCCTGGTCCTCAGGAGGGAAGAAGGCTGAAGGCATGAGCCTGGCTTGAAGCCCAGACATGGAGTGCTTGGATGCAGAGGACTCCTCATGAGTAAGTGGCATCCTCATGAGTAGGCTTTTATTTCAGGGAGGCACAGCAGCCCAACCCTGCATCTGGACCCTGCAGCTGTGTGGGGCCCCAATAGCACAGCTAGAAAACAGTGGGCTCTTCAAGCTGCTGGAAGTAACTTGCCCGGCAGTCTCTGCCTTGTTCGTGTGTGCCTGAATCCCTTGCTCCTGACCTCTCCTTTTTGACTATTTGGACTAGTGCTTAAACTACGATTTTGGATTGCCGAGTCTGCGTGTGTGTTTTGGTGAGCTCCATACAGTAGTTGCTTCACCTTTTCTTTGGTCTTGGATTTATTAGCCATCAGTGTCACGTGTCTCACCTAGTGTGGAACAGGACACTCTGTCACCTGTGCCTGCATTTACCTCCTCACCCACATACACATGCCCTTGACTTTAAATGATGGACATTTACACAAAGGCTATCTTTAGTTTGTCTTATCTTCAATCTCTTCTCCCTTTGAACAATAGATGGCAGCAGACACTTGTAAATTGGCTGCCGGGTAAGGCAAGCACACATTTAATGCTCCTAACAAAATTCAGAGGAGAAAAGAATTCCTTCCCAAGCAACAAATAGTTATAAAATTAGCAAATAAGTAGGTTCCATGTATAAGCAACACCTTAATTAATGTAATAATTTAATATCAGAATTTAGTAGTCCTAGTGTGTGATTTGTCAGTCTTTTGAAGTGGGCAAAGTGATAGACTAGGATTCAGGAGACCTGGATTTGACTCCCCAATTGGTCATGGAAAGTCACTTGAGGTGGGAGGTGGCTAGTAAAACTATTTTTTTAACATCTCATTTATCTTGAAAGCCCTATTAGGGTCACTGTTAGTTGGTTCTGACTTCATGACACATTACACTGAATAGCTCAGTGGTTTAGGTATCTGGCTGAGGAGCCAGAGACTGGGAGTTCAGTTCCCCACAGTTCACCCCTGGCAGGGGCTGGACACACAGTGATCTATAGGGTCCCTTCCGGCTCTGCAGTTGTAAGGTTATATTTAAGATAAAAGACACACATACTACTGTGCTTTCTTATTAATCCAACTTAAAAAAAAATACATTGCATAAGAATATGCGTGTTGTCTTCAACGACTTAGATGTGTTCTGTATGTCAGACCAGCCATTTGTAGCACGGAGATTCCAATCCCCAGTAAAGAAAACAACTGCTTTCGTACTGGCTGTATCACT